TACATAGCAATCTTTTTAGAAAGAAACACAATAATACATATTTACGTAAATTTCTAAAATATATATAATACTTTTTTAAACAATACTCTTAGTAATCTACTCAAACAATATTACTAATAAATGTTATACTCTTATAATATCACAATATATATTACTAATAAATATATCACAATATATATTACTAATAAATATCATACTCAAACAATATATATTGCAATAAATATTGCTTGAGTATGATATTTATAAATATTTTATATTATTATACTTTATGATATTTATAAATATAAAAAATTTAATAAATATACTCTTAATAATTTACTCAAACAATAAGTTATTGTAATATATATATATATATATATATATATATATATATATATATATATATATATATATATATATATATATATATATATATATATATATATATATATATTTTATTTATTTAAATAAGATAAAAAATTTTAGTAAAATTAATTAAAAATTAGTTTATTTAACATTAGTAAAGAATTATACCTATAACCTAATAGCTAACTACAAGGTTCCGCTAATACTTTATAACTTACTATAACCTATCAATAGAAATAAAAAACAAATATGAACCTAGTAGTTATCCAATTTAACAATTTCCAAACAACTTTTTAATAATTATTTTAAATGTGAAAAACTGAAATAATTTAATCACTTTTTATTTATATTTCATTTGTTCACTTTCTTTCAATTTTAGTTTTACAACAAATTAATTGCTTGTTATTGTTTTTTGAACAAGTTTAATTACCTTTTAGTTCTTAACTACCTAATGCTGTGTGCTAGAAGGTTAATAACACAACTGCATGATAGACAGCTGAATATCTTTTTAAAATAAACTATTATAAATTAGTTTTTCAAATAGATATCACAAATTTGAAAATGCTGCATGAACTATTAGCTGAGCTCTGTGAGTACACACAACTCAGGGGTTACTTCTAGAATTTTTTTTATATATAATTATATGTACTTTATTTTTATTTGGTTGCACATTATTAAAATCACTAAACATGTATATATATATATATATATATATATATATATATATATATATATATATATATATATATATATATATACATATGTATATATATATATATATATATATATATATATATATATATATATATATATATATATATATATATATATATATATACATATATACGAAATCAAAGCTTTTTTGTATTTAGATAGAATGCTTCAACTTGGAATATATGCATATTCGTGGTCACTATTAATTGATTTTCTTTTTAACAAATCATATTTTTTTATTATTTCAATTTTAGTCAGATATTTCAGTACTGGAGTGAGCAAAAGAATTGTCTAAAATTTTTGAAATATGAGTTTTATCTCTGATGCTGCAGTTTCCATTTGAAAATTGAACCCTAACTCACATCAAGAGTTGTTTAATGTGGCTATAAACTGTTGGCAATTGATTTTTAAATATTGTTGTTAAAAATTCTTGCAGATTTCATTACTATATAAGAGCATTGCTGCAAATAGGTTTTGTGAATATAATATGCAATGTAATCAATCTTTTATGCGAATAAACTCAACGACATATTTATATAATTATTTTACTGCAACATACAGTTTAATAATATAAAAAAGTCAGCCTTTATATAAACTATAACATATAACCATAATACTTAACAGCAGGTAAACAGTATATATAGTTTTATTTAATAAGATATTTTAAAAAAGTGTTTTGAATATTTCAATATTAAAAATATAATATAATTGTTTATTCAAACAAATGTTTGTTTGAGGATGTTTGTAAACTTTGTTACATACATCTTTAATTTTATAGAGTGATTATCCTTTAAATTATAAGAAATGATTATTTACTTTTATCTTTTTTAAATGTTGATATGAATAACTATAATTCAGACCTTTAGATTGTTTTATTCAATTAACTTATGCCATAATAGAATTATAACATAATTCTAGAAAGAACCCCTGAGTTTGTATACCCCTGTATACTGACTCAGTTAATACCCTGTGTTTAGGCCGATGTCGGGCCGAGCTCGGGTACCGCCATCGGCTGGCCAATGATGATTCAACGCAATTTCGCACAAACTATAGGCTAGCCGATGGCAGTCCGATGCGATTCCGTATGTAAATGCACGAGCGACACTTCTTTAGAGGACTGCATTTATGGCTGGTGGCGTCATCTTCATTTTCAATCTCATCCTCATCAATTGTGGTTTGATCAGAACAATCGTAACTCTCTTCCAATGTTTTTTTTAAAACTGGCCATTTTTTGGCAACAGCTCAAGCAACAGCTGCGCTTCTTCGCCTAAAATATAAAAAGATAAAGATAATCTTATAAATACTCAAAATAAAGAATAAAAGAGATAACCTTATTTAATGCTAATTAAAAATTTAATGAAGTTTACCAATTTGGAAAACAAAAATAATTAATTAAATACTAATAAAATTTAATAAAAAACTTAATTATATTTATAAGTAAATCTACACACCTGTTGTCGAAATATGACGGCAGATTTTCTGTAGGGCTTTTTTTGGAATATTACATTCCAATAACTCAGAAAATCCGTTGGGGTCAAAATAACTCATATCAAAGTACAGTTCACCGTGTGATGCAAACAGAGTCGACAGACTTCTTAACACTGTGTTTAGAATACCATTGTGGATCTCTTCTTCAAACTTTTTCATCATTTGCTAATTCTCCTGGTATAACTTTTCTTATTCTTTTGCGTACCATTGGCAAATCTGTCTGTATAACACAATCATATTCTTTCTCGTCAAGAATGGTTGCGGACACATTAATGAAATGGTCTGCAGCCACCTTAACTTGATCAAAATTGCGCGATAGAGTCTGAATTTCTGAAATAGTTACTTTACCCATCTCAAACGTCTTTATGAAATTCAATCAAGACGTCTGTAGGTATTTGGACAGTGGTATGGTTGCTTCCATTATTCTTAGATATACAAATTCCGTCAGTACAGTCTTACACTTCAATAAGGACGTTAATAGACACTGCGCATCATAGCGTGCTTCAACACTTAATTTAGTGGAAGAGACTACTATTTCCAGTACTTGAACGACGTCTGTGTATAATGCTCCTTCACCGTCGCGAAACGTACCAAAAAACCTTTGAAGGGCATCGTTTTTGGACCCCCATCTAGTAGCACCGATAACACTTAGTCGTTTGTGAATGTTTTGGCCATTTTTTTCTTTCATGTGATCAGTCCAAGTAGAACTAACGAAAAAACATAGCAGCCTTTTGAAGTATACCAAAAAGTGTCATTGAAGCTTCATTACTGCTGGTGGCGTCACATAAGACCAGATTTAAAACATGCGCATAACACCATGTGTGAATGTGTGCAGTAGACGCATTTTTAGACTTTTAATTTAGACGTTACATTTGTAGACGCATAATTCTTTTTCTAAGAATGTAGTAAATTCATTGTATACCCCGGCTATATTAGACGCGCATCAGTACTATCTGACACACATTTAGTAAGATCAATGCCATTTTGTTCCAAAACATTTGACATCAATTTGCACAGATCACTGCCTTTTCCAGAATGTAAATCGACAACACCAATAAGTCGCTCCTCAACTTTGTCGGTAACATATCGCAGGACTATCGCACATTTATCCGCTTGTGTTACATCTTGAGTTGTGTCAAGTTGCACTGAGAATATTCCCGCTTGTTTTACTTCTTCAGCAATGGTAAATTTCATTAATTTAGCGATTCCTAATATAATTTGGTTTACATTGGATTTGGAAATAAAAGTATTTCTGTTAGCTCTATTCCTCTTATCCTGTTTTATCATTCAGCATGCTTTTGTCTGTAATTTCTTCAAATGCGCTTTTAGAATTTCCTACATATTTATTAAAATAAACCTACATCTTCATTAATAATAAATCATTCATTTTTATTTTTATAAACTGCGTAGGGATTTCTTATTAATATTATACATACTATATAAAATATAAATAGATTACTTTTAATTTTTAAATAGTAAAATACCATATTAATAAAAAACCAATATTTATATGAATGCCTAATTACTTTTTTTGTTAGATATTTTATATTATATTTATAATATTGTTTTGATTTAGAAAATAGTTATTAAAATAATAAATTATAAAGGAAGCGTTACATTAAATTCAAAATTCTATATAAGATATGTATAATATATTATTTAACGCATTTTTATTTAAACAATAATCTACAGTGAAAACAAAGTTGAATAAAGCAAAATCTGAAGTAAATTTCAATTCACAATTTTTTATTACTATTCTAGAAATTTATTAAAAAAATTAAAGAAAATACGTTTTATATATATATATATATATATATATATATATATATATATATATATATATATATATATATATATATATATATATATATATATATATATATATATATATATATATATGTATATATATATATATATATATATATATATATATATATATATATACATATATATATATATATTGCTATATAAATATTCATATATATATATATATATATATATATATATATATGTATATATATATATATATATATATATATATATATATATATACTTATATATATATATATATATATATATATATATATATATATATATATATATATAAAAGGAGTACTAATAATAATCAAATAGAAATAGCATTCTTTTTATTATAGGACAGTAACACAACTTATGAGAGCACTATGCTAAAGTAGGTAAAATCTAAAGCAGAGTCGTACGACGAATTTTCACAACAAGCATACATTACAATCATAATAAAAAGTAGTAATATAAAAAAAAAAAAAGCAAAAAGACAGAAAAAAAATAAAAATAGCATAATAAATAAAGAGATAAAACTTGAACTAAAAATATATAAATAAACCTACAAATAAACTTATTAAAAGTCATAAATTAAACCTAAGTTTATGTAATTATTGTGTTACATATTTTATGTAATACTTTTATATACTTTATGTAATACTTGTGTAATTAAAACATAAATTTTGTATTTATTAATAATACTCAATTAAAAGAATGAAAATCTAACTTTCTAGCATCAGTAGTAATCAGTAGTATACATCGTTATTTTTATCATTTACTTCTAAAAAAAAATATTATAATAATCATATTTTTTACTTTAAAAAATTAAGTAAATTAATTTAATCAAAATGTAATTAAAATAAATAATATCAAAATTATTTAAAAACATTAAAATCCATAATTAAATAAAACTAATAGGTAATTTACTTTTCAAAAAAGTACCAAAATAAAATTTCTTAATTATTAACTAGCTGAATAAATAAATTTAATACGCAATCTTACATCTCTATGAAGTAACATAAATCACCTAGACGCAAGTTAATATGTCATCTTTAGGTATGCAATAAGACATGTAAGATTTCTATTACAAAGAATAAAGCAATTAAATATATATAAAATATATATATATATATATATATATATATATATATATATGCATATATATATATATATATATATATGCATATATATATACATATAAACATTGTCTAAAAAACTATTACTTTTCAGATGTTTATAATCAGGATCTTCAGGACTGATTTCTTTTTTATCCATGGTATTGTGCAAATTATCGGGTCGCAAAGCACCTTAAAAAAATATATTTCAGCAAAACACATTTTTTATGTATAACATATTGCAAATACCAGGGATATATACATAAACTCATATACAACATATATTCATGCTTAAATTCTCTATGGTATTGGGGAAAGTAATATGTATTATCTAAAAAATAGCAAGGTTATAAGAATATATAAAAAATAAGTATACTTTTAGGACGTTTAGAAATTCGTCTTGCAGCTCTGCCACCATTTTTATCCATAGCATTATGCAAAAATCATTTAATGCGCAATTCTATAAGATTTCGAGTTTCATTTGGATATTTAGTCAATACGCAGTCCTTAACAAATTGCTCTAACTTAACTGGAAGTTTTAATTTTCCATTTTTACCACTTCGATTGAGCTGTTTTGCCAAAGCAACAGATAAAAGAAGATTTAATAAACAATCACAAAGATCATTGGCATCACGGCCACCCTCTTGTAGCACCCATTGAAATATAATTTCAGATAAAGCAGTATCTACATTTGCTAAATCATCTATTGTACAAAACAAGGAATTTTCTGGTGACTTTCAAATAACGGTGGTGCTTTCGCTGTTGTATCTATCGAGCTGTCCAGTCGTTGCGAAATAAGTGCTAATTTTTGCAAAATGACTGCCTGATCATATCGAACAGCTTGAACTGTGTCAGAATCAATGCCTGCCTCCATCCAAAGAGCATTAAGCTCGCCAAGCACTGCACAAGTACTATTTGCTCGCTTTGTTTTTGGACCAACTGAGGCAGAACCTGAGACTTTACATTCCAAAGGTTTAGAAAAATTTAAAACGTTAGGAGGTGGGATTTGTGATATATGCATTGGGACTAAAGGTGGAGAACAAAGCGGTGATTACGGCTCGCTAATTTTAGCATTCAGTGGTTCAATAAACAGTGGATTGAGGCATCAGAGTCAGTTCCACTAGTGATGTTTTCTAATGGCTGTAAAGTTGGTCTTTTATTAGGTCGCACTCTAAAGAAATTATAAACGAACTAAAGTTATTACTAAACTTTCATGAAAAAAACAATAACCATTAAGTCTTTATAAATACCTGAACTTGAGGTATTTCATCAATCTCTGTGCACCAAATTTTTTAATTTGAACTGCATGTCTCAAACTATTTATAGTTTGTTGACAATTATCATCATTCGGGACAACTTGCAGAAGACAAGCATCGTATGGTTCATCTTTCCACAAGGCTTGAATGCAAACAACATGTTCAATGGATAATCCATTCCAATCATCAATAGAATAATCCTCATAATCCATGAGCATAACGCTTTGTGAATTCAATATATTCACATGAGTGTTTTTAAAAAACACTATGTATTTCATTCTAACATATACAACTAAACAAATATAAGAACGATTTTGTAAAAAATAATAATATAATTGACACAAAACTAGTTTACAAATCAGGCGGAATATTAGGATATTAGCAGATAGTTAATTTTTTTTAAAAGCTCAATAAAAAAAGACTTTCTAGGACTGCTGGAAACAAATATCAATTCATATAACTTAATAAATATTAAACAATGCATGCTAAGCAATCAATTAAATTTTAATTTGTTCAATTTAATAGATAAAACAATTTTTTTATGTAAAAAGTATTCTTAAATTCTCTCAAAGATCAAAACGTAAAGTTTCAGACCAAAAGAGAGATTAGAACCCAATTATTCTAATGTCAGGATAGGTCGGTTTTATAGCAAATGTACTTTTTTAGTTGTTAAATTAAATATTTTTAAACAAATTTATTATTAACAATTATCAAAATAAAAACAACATCATAACCATCAAGTAACTTAAACAGCAAGAATTACAAAAAAAAAATACATGTTAAAAAATTATACCTTAATATAAACGTTAAATACTAGGACATATAGTATGAGTTACAATATGGAATAACAATAAATTTTTGCTTATATGGATAACAAATACACTTATTTACTGGAACTAAATTATTCACTTATGTTGCAGATTCTTAATAAATACCTATACCAAGTGAAGATGATTCATAAGGTTCAGTTGTGTACAATTTTTTATGTTGCTTTAATACATAACCAGAAATTAATACAATAGGTTCACTCAAAATTTTTCTGATCAAAACAATTCCTTGTGATATAATACAACAATTGTCTGGTGATTTACAATTAAAAATAAGAAGCATATTTCTTTCTGTATTAGATTGATCACGGATATTTCTCATATTATTTAAAAGATGAGGAAATATACTAGATGTCGCTTTCGTTTTACGTTTTAAAACAGATAAGTAATTTTCAAAACGAAATGCGGAAAAGTAGTCAAGAGGTTGTTGATACAAGTTAACAAAATAGGTAAATGTAACAAAACATAAAAATTCTATGACACACACTTTGGCGCAATCAACTCAGGACATTTTTCAACAAAATGACTGATACATCCCTTAGCGCAATCTGGATAATCATTAAATCTGTTGGAACAAAGACAATATGTTGCATAATGTAGCAATAAAAATGTTCATAATAACCTGGCAGTAAAATCTTTTTCAACAAAAATGGCCCTAAATATAATAAGAAAAAACGATATTCTGTAGCTTTGTAATGACACAGATCTGATAAAGGTCTAATTTTCCGATGAAATTTAATAGGAATAAATGCAGAAAAGTTTTTCATAATTTCTGATAATTGTAACATTTGGTTTAAGTTAATTTACAAAGAAGACGTGGATACTGAGAAACTGATGTAAAATAGAAAAATAATATTTTTTTACACACACCAAGGCACACCAGATGCTGGTATTCTGGCGGAAAAGAAGAATGTAAACCAATACTTGATATGGAAGCTAAAGGTGATAGAATATCCTGATTATTTTCTTTCATATCACGATAATTAAAATCATTACGCATATTGTACTTATTTTTTAAATATAGAGTTCGATGATCAACAGTTTCAGCCTTGATTGTACAATATGAACATCCAAGTTTTGCAGTATGGTATTTAATACCTTGAAGCATTGCTCGTGCGGGAGCATCACAAACAAAAATTATACTAATGATAATAAATGCTACTTTTTTATATATGAAACCTTGAGGTTTTAATAATGGCAATTCACCACACAAATCCCTTATCAGAAAATTTAAATCTGGCTTTACTGTGCCACAGTAAACCGATATGGTAAAGGAAGTTTGCGTTTAAACTGCAGAATATACAAGAGTATTGGCCATCCACATAGTCCAGAACTTTTAAAAAGTGACAAAACATCAACATTAAAAATGAAATCTATATTTGATGAAACTTGACAAACACCTTTGTCAATACAGTACTTCAAAATTTCAATAATTAAAAAATGGAAAAAATTTCCTTTAACTAATTTTGTAATCTCTGTATTTTTCAATTGCGATTTCTTTGTCAATAAATTAACAGAGTTTGGAACATCTGGCACTTTAAATTTTATTAACAACTTTAAAAGCTAAGACATTGCGCGGTGACAAATATCAAAAGTAACAAAAAACATAAGCAAGTGATCTGCAATTTTGAGAATATTTTCTTTTACATCTTCTTTGGGCTCTGATGTTTGGTTCTCACTAGAGTCCGTATACAAATGTTTATCAATATCATCTGAGTCTGAATTTATATCACAATCTTTATCTGAATTATGATTGTTATATAAATCAGTTATACTGTTTTCAAAACAGGTATCAGATATTGAAAAATCAATATCACTGTTATCACTGTTTGCTACTTGAGTGCTACAAGTTTTTTCTAAATAAAATAAATAATACTAGATAAATTATAACATTAAAAAACACACAGACAAGCTGTAGTAATTTTCAATAAAATAAAAATCACAAATATTTGCAATTGAAAATATTGAATACAAGCACAAGAATGCAATTTAAATTACATTCTTATTTTAAATAGCTATAATTGTTATCACAACAGACATTAAATGAAGGAAAATCAAATTTAAAGGGCTAATACCATTTGCTTGTGCAGTACGATTATCACCTAAAAAATATTAAATTCCATTATAAATGTAACTATATTTTTGTTATGCTAATTTTTGTTTATTAACGTTAATAAACTAAAATTAGCATTACAAAAATATTTTGTTAGGTATATAAAAAAAAGCTAAAATATATTCTTATTCTTATTATTATACATATATTTTTATGTTACAAAATATATTATTACAATTTTACATTAGGAATACATACAGCAACAATTATATTTAATTTTTAAATCATCAATTTCAGTTTATACTATAATAATATTAATTCATTTTATATTATTAGGAAATGAATTTTTGATTTAATGAATCTATTTAGTAAAATTTTTATTAATTCATTATTCAATTTATTAATGAATTAATCAGTATAAATTTACCAAGTATTGTAGTGAAAAAAGTTGACAATTTAAAATTTGCTCCTCGCCTGTCACAACGCTTCGATGCCATTTTTAAAATTAAAAGTAAATGAGTTCGATTTTTTATATAAATTCTGCAATAAAAAACCGAATAATATCGGATGAATGTAGGTTATTTGTTTGTTAGCCGAGAAATGTACTTATATGGCGGCCAACCGACATCAAGCAAACGTTTAGCCGATATTATAAATCTAGCTGATGATTATCCGATGTAACGATATCGGTCCAACATCGGCCCGATCTCGGCCTAAATACAGGGTAGTTCATGCAGCATTTGTACAAAATGGTATTTTGCTACAAAAAATAGAGAATATAAAATTGTAGGTAGAGATAATTGCTCTTACCATGCTGTTATATTATTAACATTTAAGCATACAGCATTGGGTAACTAAGAATTAAAAGGTACAGAAATTATACACAAAATTCAACTAAAATTGTAAATGCTATTTAACAATAAATTGAATTATTGAAAAAATATATTTATTTTTTTTCTCTAATATTTGTAAATTTCATTGTTTTCTTTAATTTTTTTTATCAACCTTATTTAACCATTTTCTATCGTAGTTTGATAAAGCCATTTAAAATCTATATTGGTTTTACCGCTAGAGACTTATATCGCCGCCATCTTGGGAGGCCAAATTTGGCTTCAACTTTTTTCGGAAAAAACAATAGAATCCGCTATCCAGTATATTTTGAGATCATTGCGTCAAACGTGTAATTTATGTTTAAAAAATCTTTTAGCTTCTCAAAATTTTGCTGCATGCCTCTAATGTTTATATTAAACTGAAAAAGAATATAAAACTGAAAGAATATAAAGAATATAAAACTGAAAAAGAACAATGATCGTTTATTATTTTAAAATAAAAAGGATCAATATATGTTGTGTCAATTAAGTTCATTTGAGTTTCTTAAAAATATTTATGTTTTCTTCAACCAGGTTATTAATAAGGTTACCCTCAAAAGATTTCAAATTTTCAAAAAGCCATTTTTAACGAATAATTTAAAAAGATTAAAAAAATGTTTATAGACAAAAACAATGAATTAAATCAAAACCTTTAAAAAGCTTACTCTTTTACGTGCGTCAAACAAACAGCTGCGTTGCGGTCGATTTCTTTATTTCCAGGCTTCGAGTTAACAATTACTTTGTCGATGTTATCTTTAAATTCATGAACAATAAGTTTATTGTACACGACTTTAGCGTAATGACCGTCTTGTCGATGAAGCTTGGCCTGCTCAAAAGTTCTTTTCGTATTTTACGAGTCTTTTTCTCAGATTATTTTTTTATTTTCATAATCACGAAGCTTTAGAACAATTGCTCGTTCTCTTTCTACTTAAGCGAGCTCGACTCGATGGGCTTGTTAAATTTTAATATGTTTCTCAATTCCAAGTCGTTAAAAAGTTGCCTAATTTTTTCTTTAGTTTTATCCCAATCCTTTTTTTCGCTCGTTTCAATAACCCTATCGATTCTTAGATTATTTTGTCTGTTTCGATCTTCATTATCTACGCTCTTTAGTTTTAGTTCGGTATTGTCCGAGGATATTTTTCCCTGCATTTTTGTGACATTAGTTAAATCTTCACAAACTTTATTTATTTTTTCGCCCATTACTTTAACTTTGTCTTCGCATACACCACCAACAAAATTTAACCTGGACCTCGTATGTCTATTGGCCAAAAATGTTTTGTCACGCCATTTATTTAACACTGTGTAATATACGTATAACCTGTTCGCTGCCAACTACGAGTCGTAGTTATACTAACATTTTGGCGGCATTAAAAAATCTTCTGCAGTGGCTGCTAGATGAACTTCTTTTAACTGATTGTCATCCCTTTTTCAGTATTATTATCTTCAGAACCTGATCCTTGAAGATGTAGTAGTATAAGCAAAAAATCAATCCGAATCTTCAATATTATCATCTTCACTATCCTCACAATCTTCCATAATCATATGCGCTGATTCAATTGTGAAATATATGTGTTGAGCTAATATGATATAGATAAATTTATAAATTAAATTAATACATTAAATAGTATACTATGTAAAAAATTCGAAGTGCACACTAAAATGTTTTTTAATAAATTAAAAAGCATTTTATTGTATACATAAATATTTACGTATTTTTGTACATTAGGTATTTTTAAGTGTAAATATATATCGTGTGGTTTTTTATAAAATCTGCATTTAAAAGCTATATAGATAGTGAAATTCAATTTATTTAAAAAACTAGTACTGAAACTAGAAATAATCAGCTGGATAGACTAAATGACGGTTTCTCTAACTACCAATATTATTATTTATAAAGTTAAATTTGAATTGGATCTCAAATTCCAGTTTACAATTAAATGTCTAAATTACAGTTAAATAGTAGTTTTAAGCAAAATAGACATAAAAGTCACTGTTTTTTAATCAAATACGTATATATTTACGACATCAGTCGTGAGAAGGTATATGTTGTAAACTGGAGTTTTAGATATACACATAATGAAGCCGTGTGTGAATTTTTAGATCATAAGATGCATCATGGATGGAGTCTATCCACGAGTTTAATTGAAACACTATTTATAATAAAAATGCATGAAATTTTATTCGATGTGGTGATTAGTAATGTCATCGCAATGGGTATAACTCATTACAATGACATTACTAGTCACCGCAATGAGTTATACTTATGAGTAAACTCGTACTTCGGCACAGGTGAAAATATTTCTTCTCCATTGCAAAAGTACGAGTATACTGTAGTTCTTATTTTTTTGTCAAAATAAAAAATACTATAAAATTATTTTAGATTAAAAATATTTCATTTATTGAAATGTTGATATCTAGCCTTGGCAATGAGAATGAAACCGCACAAAACAGCCTCGATAAAAATTAATTAGTGCAGACAATATGGCTCGGCAAAGTATTAAAGCATAGTTTAAAATAGCTCAGCAGCAAACTTATTAACAGGTAGACGTCTTAAAAGTATTTCAGACGCTTACTTAAGTTACCGTTAGACGTTTTATAGACGTCTTTGTGCCAACTGGGTAGTATGTAATTATGTTTTTAAACCGCATTATGAAGTTGTTAGTATTAAAAAATGTATACCGTAGCAGTGGAGCTGTTTGTTTTTAATATAGTTTATATGTCTTTATATTATATACTTTTAATCTAAAAATATTGTTTTATACTAAGTTAACTTTTATTCGCAATTTATTCCGTTAAAGAGGGGTTACTTGTTTAATATCTAGTTCACATTCCCAGTAAGCACAGATCGTTTTTAAAACGTTTTAATAAGTTTTTTAAACGTTTTATAAACGTCCTGTGCTTACTGGGTTTAACTCAAACTTTATACGTTTTAAATCTAGTTTATGTACAACATATACCGCTTTCTTAGGTAATATTTTGTTTATACAAATTTACTATTGATGCCGTTTAAGTGGAGTTATTCGTTTTAAAACTGTATACTCATTAAGTGGAGTTATTTTTATTATTATAGTATAATATGAATTACTCGACAAAAACGGTATAAATTATATTTAAATATAAACTAAGTATAATACTTAGTTTATATTTAAATATAATTTATACCGTTTTTGTCGAGTAATTCATATTATGCTTATTTTAAACTTAGTTTCACATGCACACATTTTTTGCTTTTGACTGTCACGCAAAATTATTTTATATTTTATATAAAAAAAAATTTTTATATTTATTTTTTTTGAAATATTCCAAAAATACCCAGATACTACGATTATAAAACGTATATTTCTGTGCGGACGTGGTGCAGTGGTTAAAGTGTTTGCTTTATAAGCAGAAGATCCAGGTTCGAAACAAGCTCTGTATGTGTTTTCGTCTCACGCTAAAGAAGGAGGCGTGAATTTCCTGGTTAAATGCACTTCCGTGGTGACAAGACCGTTCGGTCTTTGACAAGACCGTTAGGTCTGATAGATCACCTAAATAAGTAAAATAAAAAAAAAAAAAAAAAAACTTTTGAAACAAAGAAATGAATTTTATAAAACTATATAATAACTATAAAGTTTATTATATTGATAAAATTAGGTTATTAAATTTTTCTATTTTAATAAATATTGAGTTATACCAGTTTTCAAGTAAGAAAAAAATTAAAAAACAAATAATTATCCAACTTTTATAAAACTTAAAACTTTGCAGTTTTTTCAGTTAAAAATTTTAAGAAAGTCAGTAATTCTTGATAAATAAGTACTTAAATGAATTTTTTCAGAAAAGCTAAAATATTTAAGAGAAAGAATTAAGGTACTTCAAAATTTTTCCAAATTTTGGAGAGCCGAATATTTTTTTTTATATATTATTTGAACTTTTTTCATAAAATAAAAATATACGATTTCCGCCTAAAACTTTAGAAAGTAACTATAGTTACTTTCCAAGGTGTCAAAGATAACGTAAGGAATAACACATCTACTCAATCTAATGAATATAAAATGAAATATTTGTTATTGTCTAGTAACCAAAATATTAGCTATTTATTATATTAAATATTTATTATATTAAATATTTATTATATTCGGAAGTACAATATATATTTTTCTTACAATAAACATTAAAATTAGGTCGTTATGCCATTACAATCTTATATACAATTATCTAAGAAACATCACAAGGCTTTTCTTTTATAAGCTTTTTTTTCTTGAATAGTTGGTCTGATTTCCAAAGCTACTGGGGATTTTTTGATGCAGTAATTGGACAGAATACTTTCTAGTCTTTGCATTCCTTTCATATGGCAAAAGGTGCTGCTCATAGTGTTGAATTCAACATGCATACTTTCTAAACCTTGCTCTCCATAAATATCGAGACCCAAACCCCAATTTCTAATAAAATCAACACAATGACTTTCTAATAAATGCATTTTTGGTGTAATGGACTTATTGGGCCATGTTTTACGAAAGTAACTCATTAATTCTCCAATGGCTCCTTCTGATTCAAAAAAAAAATTAAAAAAATAAAAAAAATAAGTAGTAAACAAAAAAAAGAATAATTATGCAAGCAAGTGGAATTATAATACAAGTAATAGTTATAATATAATACAAAACAGTTTGTAAAAATATATTTTTACCTAACTCTAATAATGGACTATTATTAATTATTTCACTTGAATTCATAAAAGTGTAACATATCGCGTATTTGGAGAACAAATGAACAAATTTCTCACTCAAGACCTTTGCTTCGTTATGGACATCTGTATCAATAAATCCAAGATCGCTTACAATTTTAGGTACCGAATTGCAAAGATCTAGGACACTGTTTAACTCATAGATCAAGATTAAATTTACAATTTACAAAACTAACACCTCTATGCATTAAGAACTTATGTGATTGAGGAAATATTTATACAATTCATATTTACAAGTATACAAAAATATGTATGGAAATATCTTTAACATTTTATGAACATGATTCCCAATAAAACATTTTCCGTAGTGAGCTTGTCTTTGAACATTAAGACCACATAGAACTTCATCAAATTTTTTCACAAGTGGTCCATGTAATTTTTCAAATGTTTTACTTTTTAACTCTTCAAATTCAATAAGCTATACAAAAAACAGCTTTACATGAACACACACAGAAGCATTTTCTCTCAAATTGATTGTTTCATTCAAATAGAACTAGAGAATATTTTATTTCATTATTTCAAATATTAACTTAGTATACCTTAGCATTTTTCTTCTCCATAAAATAAACTATTCTGGGCTGAAAAACTTCATTGAGGTACTCTCCAATTCCACGAGAACATAGAACTTGTATTGTCATTGCATCATCAATTAGTGTTATTTTTTCACAACATTTAGCAATTACTTTTTCTTGTTCATATATTTTTAACTGCAAGTGCAAGATATTCATCAAAACTTTTGTTGTTTACAGTTTGATTTTTTAAATACATTTTAGCTGCAAATTTTATATCTATAATAAGACAGCTATCTTCCAGCGTATTAAAATTTTTTAGATAAATTCCCAATGAGATGTGCAACAATGAAATACCAACCTAGATTCATAAAACTAATAAAAAAATATTTAAAATGATATAAATAAGTAAAAATGTAATATATAAGAAAAATGTAATACTTGTGTTAAAAGAACATTGAAAAGTAATGAATTAATGACATCGTTACAATACTTTGCTAACTTTGGTATTTGACCTTTTTGAATGAATTTTTGAAAATCTGTATCAAGCGTTTCCAGCGAGCAACTGGAACAATCGTGTTTTTGTTGAGCATTTGGCTTTTTCATCTCTGCACGAGTTATATGACAAAACAAGCAAGCATGTCGACCTAATATGAAAATATCATTTTAAATATATGGTTAAAAAAGGTATTTTAAATATATGGTTAAATAATATAAACACCAACTTCAACAATTTTAAAATGTTTGTTTGTTGCACAATTTTATTATTTAAATTTATACCATTTGCACCAGTAATTCCATATGCTGAACATAAAAACTCGTATTCACCAAAGATAAATATTCTTATTTTTTTCTCACTAAATATATATTTTTTCTAAATTGATTAAAATCTATTAATCTAAATAATTAATTAAAAACAATATGATAAAATAAAACCTACTTCCAACACAGTGACTGCAATTGACTAATTTGTTGAGTGAACATTGAGAGACCCACAATAAGGTTTGGTTTGTATTCTTTTGCTTCAAAAATACTAAAAACATTTGTGTTTCTTCTGGCATTTGGCTTATCAACATTCACAATTTGATAACACATGTTAAAGGATTCACCGCCATAATCACCACCAATTTTGATGTGAATTTCATCATTTTTTATATTGGAATGCTGTAGCAAGTTTTTGCTATTTAATTTTAAATGAATTTAAATTTCTTTGAGAAAGTAAATAAATTATTAAAAAAACATATAAAATGACTTTATTTAAATACACACATTGAAATAAAATGTTTACCTTTTTAGAAGATTGAGTTTGTTTATTATATGTGACGAAAGATCTTTAATGTATCCCCAAGGAGCATTTTTTACTTCAAATAAATCACTGGAGTCTTTAAGAAAAAAGTTAAACGGAGCATTACAAACTACCTAATCCTCTCCAGACCAGGATTTAGCTACTTTTGTTGCTTTTTATTTGATGCACATTTTATATCTTTGGTTTTAAACCATCTAAAATAAGTTTTTAAACATTTTGTTTTTTTAATTATTCACACTTTCGTATTAGTTTATTTAGGTCAAATTTAAAGTTTTTTTATATAAAGATTATATATATATATATATATATTATATATATATATATATATATATATATATATATATATATATATATATATATATATATATATATATATATATATATAGATGGTTTACCTGGCAAGTATCTTCATGTTTAAATATGTAATTCCCATTTGAGTTTTCATACTAATCAATTTCTCAGCACTTATAACTGATAAAGGAATGTCTGACATCTTCAATATTTTAACTTTATCTTTTACTTCAAATGATTTCAAAATAGCAGAGGTTTGCTGAAGTTTTGTTGTGCTGGACATACCAGAGATCATATTTAAAGAATTTATAACGGCTTGTTGTCTTTTCTTAATTGTCCTTTCACTAATATCTGAGCCCTCTTTATATGCAATTGAGTTGGAAGTAAAGTCCAAAGGCTAAAATAAAGGGGAAGTCAAATTTTATTTAATTAATTACAACAAAACTTAATATAGTTTATTTTCTTTTTGCTTTGTATATATTTAAAATGTGCCTACCTTTGGTCCTCCAGAAGGAAATGCAAATGAGTTTGACTCAGAGGTAACTAGCTTTTGCTTTATAACATGTAATGCAGCCTCTTCTACAATACGTGGTATAGCATCATTTTCTTTTAATAAAAATACATCAGCTAGAGTTGTATCAAGTGCATCATGAGTTTTTTTGCAAATCTGAGTTGGTAATAATTGTTCACCAATACAAATTTCTTCGTGCAATTTTTTAAGCTAATTGTCTTTAACTGCAAATTTTAATTTACATGACTTATTGCAACCTAAAAGAACATACTCTAACAATTGTGTTATATTAACAGAATTTAAAATTGTATTTAATGGAATGTGTTGATTTCAAATAAAGCATTTTGCTTGTGTTTCCAGCTTTCCTTCGATCTCCCTGAATAAACACACAAAGCAAAAAGAATGCTGACACTCTTTTAATATTAGCGGCTTATACATATTGCTGTTGCATAACTTGCATATACATAAGTCTAAATGGGGATTTGATACAGGATCAATATCAACTGCATTTAAACGCAAAGTCTGTTTTGGTATACTAGCAATTAAGCTATTAATGATTGGCCTGGTCCATCTCTTCTGATTTTGTTTAGATGGCCGACCAGGTTTACACTTTTTAGCTTTTCTTCCAGAAACTTTGGAGAAACAGGAACACTTGTCTGCACATGGTAATAGCCATTCAACTTCTTTAATACTGGTGCTAGAACCTTTTTCAATGTTTCTCGTAATAATATAGCACCTCCTACACATTTTTTGGGAGTGAATATTTTTATTGTCAATGCTTGTGTTAATATAAAATGAATTTTCAATTCTTTCAGCATATTTACACACAACAACTGAGTCTTTCGTTATATGTTCTCCACATATTCTGCAAATGAGACTTAACTTGGTTAAATGATCCATGTTTACAAAATATCTAAATATAGCAGTGATGTAAGATAAACTAAATATTAGCACAAAAAAAAATCGTTCTCTAAAATTAAGTTTAAAGGAAGAACAATAAACTGATGAAAATAAAAATATTTACTTTCAGATAAAGAAAATTTATTATAGCATAACATAGCTGATTTATAAATAAAAAATTTTAAGGACAATATTTTACCGTTTGATTTAAAAGTTTTCGTTGAAAATCCTAATTGTAACAACAAAATTTATAAAAAAAAGTTTTATCAGTAATCTCTGAAACAAAACGCTTTGGTTAAGAATAAAGTTGAAATATTAAACATTTAAAAAATCCAGTTAGAGTAGCTAAGCTTTCGAAAGAAATAATCGGATTTTTTTGTGTTT